GTCTCCTAACTGCCGATTGGTGTTCACGGATCGTTGTTGACAGTTTCCCCCCAGTTTGTCCCATATAGTGTTTTGGGCAGTTCTTGTAGTTTATTCTGTAGACAACACTCCTGTCCTTCTCCAATTGTTCTCTCTTTTGATTTTGATAGAACTCAACGTAAACAGGAGGGCATTTTGTGGGCGACTTGGATTCGATATGGTCTGAGCAGTCTTGCTGTCATCTCCGAAACCTACTGGATGTAAGGCAAGGTCGTTCTTGTTCCCGATTCTCTGTCAGTTGTTTCTTTTTTTCTTTGAATCAGAGTGCTTCGGATGAAGTTGCCGGTGAGCCCTTTTCGAGCAAATAATCTGAGGAGATATCTTTCTTCTTTCTACCTCAGTATGTTGGTGCTGCAATGCATCCAGATTCTTCCGAACAGGGCTCTAACACAGATTCTTTTGAAGGCTTGTGGATGATTTAATTTAAAGTTTAGGATTTGATTTGAGTAAGGGATAAAATAGTCGACGGAGAAGAACAAATACAAACGAACGAGTACAAGCAGAACACTGCAACTTCACAAGCACTGATAATGTCACCTCGGCTGGTGATGAGGAAACGTTTGCAAACAAATTGCCTGGCTCGGCGAACAGGCGAGATAGAATAGTTACTTCTTCATCAGTAATGTGCTGTTTCACTCAAGAATTTCAATCTTCGTACCTGGTATTTTGAAAATGGTGTTAAAAACGTGATTGCTCATTTTTTACTGACCTCCTCAAAAAACCAGACGCGAAGCTTCCAGATAGAATAAGAGGATGAATTATAAAATATCATATAGTTTTAATCCACGCACGTTCGCAAGCAATAAACGGAGGAACTCGTTACACATGAGAGTAGCATTTCGTCTCGTCATTAGTTTAGAGATATCTTGAGCATTTTGCAGACCTAAAGTGCTCACATACTCCGTTTTGTTTGTTTATTTGAGGTATGCTTCACACCTTGCGGTCACCGACTTATACTACAAATTATCGCTGATCCAGTAGAAGCCCCTGACGGGTTGACACAAGATCAACAGAGATTTTCTGATGCCCTAACAAACAAGGCACAAACTGATTCCTAGTCGTTGATGGTAGGTCCATCAATGAATTTGATCTAAGAAGTTCAGCATGTACAACAGTGAAAGTGGATTTTGGCCAAATTGTCTGTTTGGCGAAGATGGAACTGCAAATGTAAAGGAAAACGTGAAAATGGACCACTGTGCGAGAAGCCTAACGTGAGATGTTTAATTATTAGATAAACGCTATTATCAACTTTATTATCCACTGTTTGTTCGTTTGTTTGCGCTTCGTCTGTTTCTGAATTTATTGATTTATTGTGCAATGGCAATGCGGTCAGTGTAAGCCTGCCACGTAACCCATGTCCAAATCGCACCAGTCACACAATGATCCCCGAAACGTGCCCAACTTAATAAGCGGCAAACATGCCACATTGGACGTTTGGTTTATCTGTATGTGTGTGTGTGTGCGTGTGGGCACCCGGGTGGCAGGCGGAGCGATGTGAGTAAGGGTTTACGGAAAACGGGCCGATTAGGACTATATTCCGTAAATCTTTCCTGGGCGTGACCATTTGTAGCTGCGTAATAAAAAATATGGATTCCTTCAGTCTAGATAGATTGATCAAGTGTGTCAAATGTAATACAAAGCAAGTATCTAGAAAGTTTCATAAATGTTATACACCAACGGGTCAAATAACATCGAGCAATGAATCATATTGTTCAATGTCATAGATGCAAAGTTTTTTATATCTCGCTTGAAATCCGATCGTATGACAGAGAGAGACAGCATTGCGATTTAATACCATGATCTGCTCTCATTTAAAGAGACCTAATAATACCACCGGCATGAAAACAGTACGATCAGAACAATTCGGAAATTCGTCTATACAAAATAACCAAATCAAAGGTGTTCATCTTTCTTTTATTGAATTAAACACGATGATTTCCTTGCAATGCTGAATTTAGGTCACATTTAGCGAAAAAAATATCAGTGAACTTTATTTGGATATAAAGTTTCACCACTTTATCTCTTACTTTCAGAAAGACAATTTATCGTTATGAGCTGTCAATCAGACAAACTTGACAATCCATTTATCATATGACACTACCAGATATCCGATGAATTACCTACACGTTCTAAAATAAAAACGACTTCCGGTCCGCAAATTCTAAAGCTGATGGGACACGTCTGGTAATGCTATAATTGCGCAAGATGGAACGATCCGAAAATTCACTACAGTAAAAGTATAACTTGATCTATACAACAACGATTGATCGATTTGCGATTTGTTTCCAGGCATATATAAGAATTTTAAATTTTTTTGTTTTAATGAGTTTGCTTATTGTACTTGTGATTTATATAAAATTGAATATTCCCTCTTGATTTCAAATTCAATAATTATGCTGAAGGTGGACTGCTGTACAATTACCGGACCGGAACATCGCTAAGACCAGTGGTAGACAGAGAAAACTCTCATCCTTATCGAATTGATCGATGACAACCAGAAAGTTTTGAAGCAGACAGAAAAATAATCAGAGATATAGTTTGAAAATCTTGTTTGCATTCGTCGAATCGGTTCAAGAAAACACAGCCCAATACTCTAACATGGGGTTATTTGACATACAGCTGTTGCAAACAAATGTCCGCCAAATCGATAATGTTGAGTACCTGTGCCAGAAGATTAGGGATTAAAACTTAAAGAATGTAATCCCCGCAGTAAATCTAAGAGGGTTTATGCAGCCATGAACGGTTAGCTTTCAGACGTTGTTCAGCTTTGCACAACTAATTCATTGACGCTCGGAATGAATTTATCAAATCAACTGCCCATCTTTATCTCCTCAAAAGTTACTTCCGACCTTGACTAAGGCACTGGGTGCAATAGGTGACTGAAACCCATCAGCAATGTGGCCCATCTATCAAGCAGTTGGTGATCACTTCAGAGTCGTACACAGACTGCCTCAACATGGGTTCAATCCCCCGTAGAAAAGAAACCCCTATGAGCAAATAGACCGCTGAATCTAGCCCGGTGCTCACAACAGAGATTGGTTAACACAACCTGATAAGTAAAACACAGCCATGACATCTCACAAACAGTGATAACGGCCGATTCTGAAACCTACCGTATCACAGAAAGATCCGTGGGGGAGAACTCACGAGCATGCAACTCTGTACTTTCTTCACATTGCTACTCTACACTTCACTTAACACAACAACTCTCGGTGTTCTTTTTACGTATCAATACATTTACAGTTTGTGTTGTATATAAATCAACAGGTATGCGCGTGTGTATTGGTTAAGGACGAAGTTACGTAGACGAGCTGGTTTACCTATAGCACATTTCCTTATGTTGAAGAACACAAAACATTCGGCTCATGGAACACAAAAGTGACATGAGATTGTAAACAGACCCCTAGGAATATATAAACATGTATTGGTGCTGCATAATAAGGAATTTTGGGTTCAAGTATTT